AAAAGGTACAAGTTGTCGAGCCAATTACAATAGCACATACATCCAATATTAAAAAACATAAACATTATATAATAGTTTAAGAAGACATTATATAATATTTTAAGATCACTGATAAGATTTTATACAAATTTTGTCTAAGATGAATTAACGATTAAAATGTGCATTTGTGAGAGAATATGTGAAACCCATCATATTACTCTCCAAAAAAGCCCTTTAGGAAAGAAAGAAGGTTCCAATAAATCTAGCTGATGTGGGATTCTTTTTAACACATTTTATGATGGTTGTATATGTATTACAATGTTCTTAATAAGGAGGGGCATTATAAAACAATTTAAATAAATGTTAAAAAGGTTAATTGCTAAAAAGCTTTTCAAGAGGTTTTAGCATTGGAGAAGGCTTTGTTATTGGAAAGCTGATGTGGCAAAAACAACAAGTTATTGGACAGGTTTACCATTGGGAATGCTCTTAACCTAAAATGACCAACATGGTGCCTCGGTAAGTCCTTAGCACCATATATACATATCCCTTATTAATGATCAAATAGGCCAATCAAAAAACAAAACAAAAATTTATGGAGATTTTATTTAATTAAACATGTAAAAACAGGGTGAAAACACAAAGAATATGGTAATAGTTATGTTACTCACAAAAGCTCTCCACTAGCCATGCAGATTGCACAAAAGCCTTCCAACCCACGCTCACCGTCAGAAGGTTCACCCATTTTGAGTCCAGTCTCACACTCCCCGCCATCCTAGGTCGGAGCATGAAATGAACAAGTAAATATCAGCAATGGCACCAAAAGGTAATTGGCCCAGCGGTAGTTGGATTATCGGTAAACCCCAATTCTCATGAGGTCAACGGTTCAGATCTCACCAAAAGTGGGGAGTGTCCCCAAGTATTTTTCATATATAAATATTATATACATCAAAAAAGATATCAGAAATTGACCCAGCTGAAAAAGCACAACTTGAGCCCGAACTATAAACTAAGAGCTAATTTCCTAGAAGAGTATGTCAGTCTAGCTAGCAATATGTTAGCTAAAGCTTAACAGAGGTGATACATAGAGAAACAAAGCCAAAAGTAAAGAAAAAGATCTACAGAAAATACCATTAAAGCGATACAGGAATGTCTGTTTCCAGATTCTGGATTGCCAAAGCAAACTCCTTCTGAATCTGGGACAACCCTATAAAAAAGCCATGCAAATTTATTGAGCATATCATATATTCTCCTGGGAAGAGAAAGTCAACTCACTGGTTTACAACCATCTGCTATTGTTCAGCATTTGTATTAAGAACCCAATAATTGTTCAACCACTTGGGTGGGGATGCAGTATCTTCCTGGGTTCGAATCCAAGTACTGTCAAACCCTTATGGCCATGGAGGTTCACCAATGACCTTATGACCCCAGGCCCTTCATGGTTGCCTGGGAGACTAAGTTGGCCCGGATACCCACGGTTATGCTGAAAAATTGAAGTATTGTAAGAATACTACAAAATTCAAGATTACAAAATTTCACCTTTGCCTTTTACTTTTAGAATTGAAACAAGATTTCTTGGCAAATCTTTCATCTTCTTCATTTGAAGCATGAGATGTAACAATCTGTTCATGTCCTTCTGACGCCTTCGCCTTCTGGCCGGATATTTGGAACAATTTCTTGTATTTATGTGCGTTTAATCTCTTCTCTTTTATATTATTCATGGATTCTTGTAATGCATATCTTAAATCCTGTTTCAGCAATAAAATCATGTAAATGCAATGCTGTAAAGTGGCTTCCGTTGAACTCATAATCTGTATTTATTTTATTAAATTATGAACATAATCCCCCATACCCTACTTTCATTGCTGGGTCAGTATGGTATGGTTCGTACATAATGCCAAAAATTAGTAGAGATTTGTAAAAAAAAACTGCACACTGGTAATGAAAACGATATGCTCAAATCACTACACATGTCAGGGATCACACCCTCAAAAACCCTAGGTTTTTTTCCTACTATCATATATACGAACACACACAGACACATATACATATGTAGATGCAGATACATATGCATATACATGCATATATAACACATCCAGAATGCATTCATACGACCTTGTCGTATTTGCGTATACATATGAACTAATAGAAAACTGTAAGATGAAGTTAACTAAGAACACGAAGCCCTAAATAACAAATAAATCTACAGAACATGTATGTACGTGTAATCTCACATACAAGGTGATACAAAAGGGAGTAACTGTGAATTCACAGAACCCCCTACACTATCACATACATTCATACTTATATATCTATATATACACACACACACACACATATATGTATATGTATATATGTGTATGTATGATGTATAGACTAAGAACACATAAAAACCTCATAAACCCTAAATTAACACATACATGATCTTAAAAAGCAGTGTATTGATCTTTATGACTTAGAAACCTTTCTCATATAAAAATCTTATAAACCCTAAATTACCACATACATGATCAACTTTCTTACATAAAAAACTTAGTGAAACCTAAATCATTTTTCATATAAAAAACTTAAAAAGGAAAAACATCATGTTGTTTGTTTCCCGCGAAAAAAAAAGGAAATTATCAGCTTCAAATCGATTCCCATTTCCATTTCCATTTCCATGTTCATCTTAATCAACAGTTGCAGCTTCCCACCTACCAGAAAAATCGTGGATATTGCTTAAAAGTTGTTCTCCTTTTGAGGTTTTTCTAGAATTTTCTCCAGGTTTCATTCGGTTTGATAAGACGAAAGAGACGGTTTCGCCTTTTACAGACAACATAGAGAGAATTGCATTCTCTGCAGGAATTTTGGTGTTATGGGTTCTCCATTATCCCGTACTTCCAGTCTTTGTCGCTGCCGTACCATAACGTATAGCGTGGGTTACATATACAATAGAAAAAATTATCTTCGGTTTTATAAATATTTTAATTGTTTTTTTTATATAATGTTGGTTATTTATATCTATAATTTATAATATATTATAAAACATTTGATAAAAAGTCTTAAAAATCATTCTTTATGCATGAAGTACTACTAATTAATGCATAGTACTTAAAATTTAAGATTACAAGTAAATTGTGTGTAAGTACAACTTATTAAAGTTTCAGTTTTGAATTCGTATAACTAACTGCAGATAAACATAATCAAATACATGATAAACATCTTATTTTAAATATAGAAAATCTAAAATATAATTAGGATAATCATTAAGTTCTAACAGAATCATTATCTTTATAAAAATTATAATCTAAAATAAATTAATTCGCTATTAAATCTAAATTAAAATTTAATAAAAAATAGAACTAAAGAAATTGTACAAAAAAAGGAGAACTTTTAAAAATTTAATTTGATATTAATATCAATTTACTTTTTCAATTTTTTATGATATCTTCAAATTTATTTTTATTAAAAGTAAAAGCATCATCTTTCTCAAAACCACATAAACCGTATTATATCAATAGAGACAAAATAAAACGAAACATTAAAATGAATATGTATCTCGTTGCATTGCACGAGTACCCTTCTAGTACATTATAAATCATTTGAGAATAATTTTTAAAAACTATTTTTTATGTATGAAGTTTTATTTATTGATGTATGTTACTTGAAATTCAATATTACAAGTAAATTGTATATAAGTACAATTTATTAAAGCTTCATATTTGAATTCGTGTAACTAACTGCAGATAAATATAATCAAATATAGGATAAACATCACGTTTTAAATATAAAATGTCTAAAACATAATAAAGATATTCATTGATTTTAACATAATACTTAATTATTATTTTTATAAAAAAATTATATTATTAAAACAAAAATAAATTATATTTTTATTAATCCTAAATTAAATTATAATAAAAAATAGAATTAAAAAATTATACAAAAGAATGAGAATTTTTAAATAGTTAATTTCATATTAATATTGATATATTTTTTAAAAAAATTTATGATATTTTAAAATTTATATTTTCTTCAAAAACAAAAATGTTATCGTTCTTTCAAAACCACATAAAACCGTATTATATCATCGATGAAGACAAATAATAAAACAAAACATTAAAATCGAGATGTATCTCGCTGCGTTGTTCGAGTACCTTTTTGTAATAAATAAAATCTGATCTTTTTATAAATATTTTAAATTTAATAAATGAACTCTTATTATTTCCGTAAATAAATAGCTGTTTACTAAACATTTACCTTGGTATGTGTTTATTTGTTCAATTACCTTACCAGGTGAACATAATAAGAACTGAAAATCTTATTCGGTAAACGGAAAAATAATGATCAAGGGTCTTACCCAGTAAATGTCTGTGATGACTCTTAAATAGTAAGCACTTGCCGGGTTATATATGTTTGATATTAATTCATTTGAAAAAATGTCCCTTTTAATTGTTATAAAAAAAAAAGAAACATTTTCCTTTTTATATTAATGATTCAACGTATAAAACAACTTTTCGGTATATCTAAAGTAGGGGTGAGCAAAACCCGTCCAACTTGAAAACCGGACCGAATCTGACCTGAATTTTATAAAAACACCGAGTCCGCTACCCTATCTAGTTCGATACCGAAACCTGAAAATTATGTGAGTAAAGTAGGATCGGGATGGGTTACCCATTTCGGTCTTCGACTCGTCCGAACCTGACCTTGTTATAAACCTAAATTCTAAATTCTAATTCCACTTCTCCTGTTTCGTTTTCCTTATGTGGCTCCTCCACCACGATCCACGTAAAAACATTTCTCTCCCAGCTTTGCATTTCTTTTACATTTGTCACCCAGATCCACATAAAAAAGGTTAAAATTACGAACTTAGGATAAAGAACAGTTAAAAACGAAAACAACAGATAAAAATGACTATTTTAATTAAATTTTTTTTTTTTGTTATTTGTTAATGTGCAACCCTGTACACGTCTAACCGATAGTACCGGGATTATATCGTGAAGAAAGAAAAAAAAGAAAAGAAAAAGGGAAACACAAATCAAAGATCCACCGTTGCAAAATCCACCGCCATGGACGGCCGTTCTCCGCCGCCTCCTCCTCCTCCACCCCTCCCCCTGATTCACCTCCGTACCACCGGTCAGATCCTCAAACAAACCATCACCGTCTTCTCCGTCCACCATCACCTCCTCATCTTCATCCTTCTCTCATTCCTCATCCTATCTCTTCGCTCCAATGTCGAAACCGCCACTCACTCCCTTACTTCCTTCATCGACCACGACCCTTCCATAAAATCACTCCTCTGTCGCCTCCACATATCCTCCAATCCCCCCTCTCCACCCGGCATCACCAATCGCTATCGCCGGCGGCCTTTCCTTCAGCTCACCCGTGTCGGAACCCTAGACGATGATTTCTTCTCTGGAGATGAAGAGCTCGATCACCGATTTTTTGGAACCCTTCCCAGACCACAACTGAATGCTACCTCACTCATAGTTGACTCCTTTGATCCCCGACTAGGGTTCTCTAATTTCATATCTGATAACGGAATTAGGGTTTCAGAGACCGTGCGTTCTATGGTTAAGGTTTCTTTCAAAGCAGTCGAGGCAATCGAGAAAGAAGAGAAGATGGAAACCGGTGATAGTAACGATTATGCTGTGATTAAAGAGAATGAGAGTGAGAGTAATGATGATTTGCAGCTTTTTCTTAAGAGGTTTGAGCTGGAACACCATGAAATGACTGCCTTATTATTTCTTCTTGGCGTTTTATCTGCTTCGTATGGGTTTGCAATTCTTGGGTTTGTTGTTACTTATGCTTGGGTTCTCGGGATTATTTTTGTAGTGGTGGTGAATGATTTGCTGAAGAGTTATAAGTCTTTTTTCCGTACTATGTGGGACGGTTCAAATATAGGTTTGAAAAGGTTGTCTGGGTTTATCCTTATGAGATGGGCTGTTAGGGATGCATTGACTCAGCTACTGGGTGTTTGGTTTTTTGGAGAGATTGAGGATCAGTATTTGTTTTTCAAGATATTCGTTAGGTTGAAGTTGATGCCATTTTCAATTGCGTCTCCTTGGGTGAAGGGGTTGGAGAGAGAGATTTATGGTTTTCTGTTGTCGTGGTTCTTGTTGGATACGTTGGTGTCATTTGTTTTTGCCGTGGATGCATGGATTGCGATGGTAGACACCAGGAAGAGTGTGAGGGAAGTTGTAAAAGAAGGTTGCCATTTGTTGTCGATAATGTTGCATCCTGCCATCAATCTTAAGTGTTTAGAGGGTATTGTTTGCGGGTCATTTGCAAGATGGTTGCTGTCACGATTCTTCGGCAGGTTGTTTGCTTCTGCTTTCCAGTCTTTTATGGAGGTTTACTTTATGGTGGCTTGGCTTATATACTACTTCTCTGTTAAATCCAAGGATGCTAATTCTAGTGGAATACCATTTGGTCATAGAGAACTTGAGGGGTTGCTTGAAGATGTTAGATGATCCTTGCTGCAAATTCTCATGACATTCGCTTCCATGCCACAAAATTTGAGTGCCAAGTGAAGCGGTAATCTTTGGTGCTTTGTGTGTTGATTGTATTTCAGCAAATGTGATTTAGCACTGCCATTGTTTTATGACACCATCTTGATGTTTTGTATCATATGTACTTTTATCACGAGGCAGATATAACATGTGTATATTTTTCTCTCATGTAGTGGTAATTCATGCCATGTTGTCAGTAGGAGTCACGGTATCTTGTACATAAGCACCATCGATTCCATTTTTAGGTTGTTATATCTGTTCTATTACGCCTTTTAAAATTGCATGTCTTGCATGCAGAAGCATTCGTGGAATACATTTTGGAGAAACCGTTGATATCTTCCATCATTAGGTTTGCTGTAATGCCGTCTTTTTCGTTACTAATACTATTTACTGCAGATATACTTGGTAAAAATTCCGTAAGATGAAACAACTATTATGAACAAAACAACAACTTCAGTGTTTCTGAATATTTTTAATCTACTAGAAGAAAGATTCCAAAAACTCTAGTGGATTGGTGGTCAACCCCATGATTGGTTAAAGAAGAAAATTTTATATGAACCTGGCCACCCGGGCAATGTCAAAACATATTTGAATAAAGCAATTAGTGGTACACCTTAGTACATAGAAACTATCATCAAATGTAATTCTGTTCGATTATTAGTAACATGTATGTTAAATGTTACACTAATTAACTGGCTTTGATGATTAGAAAATGTTACACTATTTAACTGGTTTGGATGATTAGTAAATGGTATATCAAATGTCATATAATTTAACAGGTCAAGAACCGAACATAAATGACTTGATGCAAATATACATGGAAGAAGGGAAGAGCCAAGTCCATGGTGAGGGTGAAAATGGGGAAGAATGAAGAACCTTTTTAGAGAAGGTATCAAAACACATAGCTTAAGCAGAGCAGCCAACTGTGAAGCTTTTCTGATTTCTCTACTTCTGTTCATTAGTGAAATTACAGTGAAGTACTAGCTAGGGAATGTGGTGCTTGTGTTAGGTTGCCATATTGCTTGGGTGCAGCATGTGCGGCATACGTGGCTTGGAGTGGGATGATAGCGTGGAGGCTTTTATTAAGTTATTTTGTCAAGGTTTTTATTTAAATCATCTTTAATTGTATGCCACAACTGACAAAAAGGAAAGACAACACCAAATTTTTAGTGATCTTATATGCATGTTTTAAGAAAAATATAAAGATTCACTATCCAAATAAGTGTTAGTTACGTGTGTGGTGTAATTTAATTTTTTTTTTGGAAATTACTAACCCACAGACCCACTATGTTCCTCACCTGATAAACCATTCCTGCTTCATAACCAGAAAAAAAGTGCGAATGTACCTTTTATATGGAAATCATGTGGATGTGGGTGAGTGCAATATCCCAACCACTATGAAGAATAGAACCAAAGCCATTTACATTACACGGTGGGCTTAGCAGTTAGCACACTGTAGCTAGAGGACCAAATTTAATAATGACAAGGTTGAGCCACCATTGCTTTAAACGCAGTACATTTATGGGTTCATGATGATGGCTACAACACACTTGTTAACCCTCTTGCTCAATATGGTATGTTTCTATCGGAAATAGTAAGTTCCAATCTGCAGCAATGGCGAGAAATGCACTTAAAATGGAAAATCCTTGTTTTTTTTCAGCAGTTAATGCCAAGTTCAATTAGTTTATTAACTTAGTAACTTGTACACGAGTATATGAACAACTAAACCTGATATATCCACCTGTTCAAGTGACTTTTGATATTTTAATAGCCAAAATTTGAAGAAGCCTATTTTACCCTAGCAAGTAGCAACAAGGGAGTTTGAGCATGCTTGTTGTAAGTTTCTAAACTGAAAGGCAAAAAAATTAAAAATCCCATATAATGATAGTGTTCATCTCTGATTTCAGTCATCTTTGCAGTCAATTCGGAGAGAAGGCTCACATTACAGGGTTCTGAGAAGCGAGATCAAGTGAACCAAAATAGAAGTCAAATGAGTGCTGGATTTGGTTAAATTAGATTTATCATTAAGGTTGTAGTTATTAGATTTTATTACCGAATTGAATTTTTGCTGGATCAGCCATTAACTGCAGCAACTTCCTAAATTTCAAAAGCTATCCCATCTGGATGAGGACATAAAGTAGACAAGAGTTCCTGATTATTCCATGGGAATAGGTTCATCTCTGAATTCCAATACTTTTCTATTGGAGCTTTCCTTGCTCCTTTTATCGAGCATAAACGAGAAGAGACAGTGGAGGAAACAGATAACAGGCCCATAACTTTTACCACCGCTCTGTCTTTGCTGCAATTCATTCTTCATAGAGAGATGGAAAAAGAAGGGAGACAATGGGCCTTGGAAAGAGAGATCGTGATTTATTCAAGGCTAACGACTGTCTGATCTAGATTAAGTTGCTTTAATTGTCCTAATCACAATTTCTCATTTCAATTTAGCCTTTCAACTTTTTCTTCATCCTTGTATCCCTCCTGCTATCACAAGAAGACAATGATCCTCCATCTTCTTTCAAAGTGGAGCAGGAACAATTCAACATCTTCAGGGATGAATTGTGGCTATAGTTTAGGTTTGACCAGTATCTGGAAGTTTGAAAATGGGATGAATTTAGGCGAGTTCTTCCATAGCTGAAAGCCTGAAATAACAAAGCAAGGTACATTTCTCACTTCACTAAGATACAAGTGGATTTTACAAATCTAGCCATGGAAAAAGGGTTTACTGGGTATGAAGAGGGATATATGGAAATCCAAGAAACTAATAAGGGTTTTGATTTGCCTAAACTGTGACTGGTTTTGATGTTGACTTTATTTTCTTTTGATGTTGACTTTATTTTCTTTTTCTGCATTGGTTTCAATGTGTCTTTTTTTTGGGGGGGGGGTTGTATCGACATTTTGGCCAGAGAAAATAATAAAGGTGGTCAGAATAGGTCAATGTGCTTCAAACTTAGAAGTTCATAGGATGAAATTAACTTCCATTGAGGGCTCACTGGCCCAGGTGTGGAAGCTCATTTATGTATCTACATGATATTTTGACAACCTGGCTGAAGAAAGTAACAATGTGGCCAGAGTAGGTAGATATGCTTTAATTTTAGTAGTTCATAGGCTGAAATTAACTTCCATTGGAGGTTGATGGGCCCAAATGTGCATGTTCATTTGTATATCTTGTAATTTCTTTTTAAATGTGATTGTTTTACGAGGGTAACTTTTTGAACTTCATAAGGTAATCAGAATTTGTGGAATTATATTGTTTTTCAGTATAAGCAATTTTTTTACTTCTCATCCAGGGGTTTAATATGTTGATAATCATTGCTTAATCATACAATAGAGGCTCTCCTTTGTTTTTGTGACAGCATGTCTTCAATTTAGTTGACACTTGACTTTTGTGGAAGCAAAAGGAAGTGTTCATGAAGACATCGAGAGGGGGTAAGGAGGTGAGATGAGAGAGGAGCTTGTTCTGCTTTTAAGGGTTTGAGTAATTTAAAACATTTATGAAGATCGGATAACCAAAAAGGAGCATGAAAAAAACAAATGCTATGCAAATTAAGGACATTATACATCAGTTCACAATCAACGTTGTCGGTGATGCATTTTCCAAGACATGCTGGAGTATGCACAGCAGCAGGGAAACAGGGGTATTAGTTATAAGGTTTTAAGAGGGATATCAGCCTTAGCTATTTGTTTAAAGTCACAATGCAGGCGTCAATGTCGTTGGCAATAAAACCATGCTTAAATGGAGCATCACTGCAAGCTGTTATGTGACAGGTATCCAAATTTTAGTTTATTCTTGATAAGTCTTTCTGTTGGTATTGCATGTAAGCATGCAAAAGGTGCATGTATTTTTGTGCTATTCTTAAAAGGTTCATGTGTTAAAGATTTTTTATTCCTAAAGTGCATAAAGTTTAGTACTTTGTGTCTGAGTTTTGACCTCACCATTATAACTTAAATGAATATGTGATAAAGGTCATTATCTCATTCGTCATGTTTCAGTCTTCCTCCTACTTGAACCATATTTCTTCCCTGTTGATTAGAATCGTGGAAGAATTACCAAGTTTTAGTAGGTGCACTATTGAGTATTGATGATGTGGTGAGTGATCGCCATATACTGAGTTTTATTATTCCAGTATTTCAATGGCACCTGCGTCTTAGGGAAAAAAGAAGATAAAGAACAAAAGACAAAGGAGGATCTTAATGAAATGCGTAGTGTTTGTATATGTTAAATCATGATGAAGTTCTACATTCATATCTAATGAGTAACAAAGTAATTGTATTTTGTGGGTGATGAATAGTGAAGGGAAGAACCATAGGTTCCTCATGACAATGCAACCTTCCTAGGTGAGAAATCGAATTATCCATTTTTAGTAGTTTTTTTTAACGTGCATCTTTTGTAGTTGTTTTAACACAGCTTCTGAAGTTTTTGGTTGTTGATTTAGAGTATGACAATTTTAGTGATAACAGATTGTGTCGTTCCATAAGGGCAAACTTTTCCCTTATATTTATTGTTACATTTTTACCACTCTTACTTCGGTTTTCATACGGAGACCGCTGCTAGAGTTGTATAGACATTTAGAAACCTTCATTTTGCATCTAAGTCCATTTGTACGCACACGATTTCTCTTTTTCTATTTCTTACACCACATGCGGACAATGTTATTCGAGCAGTTTGTATTTTGTCACCATCATCATCATCATTGTTGTTGGTGTTGTTATTTTTTACTACGCTGTTGACTGGCTCAAAGCTTTTTTGTGATTTTTAGATCCACTTGGGCCTGTTTGGTTGGTTTTTTTTATCAAGTCCTGTATGTATAAAGTTGTCTGTATGTATTAATCTGTTTGTATAAATTGAGAAGCTTTTTGTTTGGGAGGGTTTTTTCATAGATGGAAGAAACAAGTTTTTTAATTTGGAGGGGAAGGTTTGGAAAAAACTTGGTTTCTGCATAAAGGCCCCCCCCCCCCTCCCAAAAGTTTACTGACTAAACCACTTTCAATATCATTAAGTCACTACCAAACAGTCATGTATAGCTGACCAAATAAGCTGTGAGTCCCATTAAACTCATTAAGCTGTAAACAAACAGACCCCGAGTGTCTTTTCCATCCTCCAATATACATTTTGGCATGAGAAGGAAAAGGCTAAACCTGAAAATTTGCCTGCTATGCATCTGTTCCCCTTTATGTATATTTTATTGTCATAGCACTGCTCTTGATTCATGGATAAGAATGACATGATCTACTTTTAGGTTTTCATTAGAAAGCGTTTTTGATCTAATTGCTGCAGATTTTGCAGACCCAACACTTCACTAACATTTCGAACTTGCAGGCCCATAAATATCCTGAAAACCCAAACATGAAAAGGAAGATGCTGCATAAAGATGATAACCACGTTCCTCTTTGTACAAGCAAAATGTAAATTTGAAATTAATGCTCGGTTCTTCGATATTTTAATACTTGGCTTTTTAGATGAAATTAATGAATCCGTCTTGGGTGGGGGGGGGGGGGGGGGTGGTCTTTGTTTTGGCTATTTCTTGTGTTTACCTTGTGTAACATACATCATTCTCGGATCCTCAGGCTTATAAGTCAAATTCAAATATATCTTGCTAATGAATGCTTAATTCTGCAGCTGATGCTTGCTTTTAGTTATTTTATCTGTCCCCCTTGGGTGCTTTTGATGCCGTAAATGTGTCACTGCACCATTTATTTGGACTGAGATTATGCTTGCCATTTTTAGAATCTGGCGAAAAGTGTTGGGGCTTTTTGTTAGCAGCTTAATGAGCTTAATGAGACTCACAACTTATTCGGTCAGCTATACATGACTGTTTGGTTGTGGCTTAATGATATAGAAAGTGGTTTATTAAGTAGGTTTCTAGGGGGAGAGCTTTATGCAGAAACCCAAGTTTTATCTAAAAATTCCCCACCCAATTAAAAAAATACGCTCCTTCCATCTGTACGAAGTCCTCCCAAACAAAAATCTTCCCAATTTATACAAACAAATTAATACACACAAAACTTTATCCATACAGGACTTAATGGAAAACTAACTAAACAACCCCTGAATGCTGGATCATGCTTTATCACACAAAGGCCGGATACATTTTCAATTTAGGATCTCTCTCGAGACACGTCAACTTTTATACATTAGGATTAATAAAAGGACCTGGGAAAACACAAATTAGTTATTACTTTTTGTGAATTTTGTTTCTAGTTCTTTCCTTGGGTTATACATGATGTTCATAGACTAATATCTTTAATGAGCGTTAAACGAATTTTTAGCAACTGTTGACATATAGACTTGATCATCATCCATACAAAAAACAGGTTTCATTTCTTGCATTAGAGTTCACTGTTATAGCTAGTCACGTACAATATTAAGTTATCTCTTTACATGAATATATAGAACTTTGCAGGAACAATTCATTTGACTGAACCAAAAATCAGAGGCACAGAGGGATTCTTCGATCATGTGGGGACGTGGCACACCTAACTACACTGAGGAAAACGTCCTCATCACAGGGAATATTGAGTCTGGAATCAGTAGTGAAGTCGTATTCTTCTCGAGCTTGATCCAGTAATGCACTGAAGAGAGGGTGTTTCAGTAATTTCACCTTGATCACAAACCTCCTCTCGTTTTTGCCCACATAGACCACCAAATGACCCTTTGGGACATCTCTTGGAATCGAAGCTTCCTCTTCTTCATGTATGCATGATGATGGCCAACTGAATGCCCATTGGCAGCACTTATCACAACTTGCAGACGAAGGTAGAACTCCACCGTTCATCTTTTTACACTTTTTAATCCATGATTTCAAAACCTTCCCTCTCATCATCTTTGTTTTATGTATGTATATTCTGTAGTTATACCTCTCTGTGTGAGGGAGAGAGAGGAGACTTGGAGGTGGGAGAGATGTTGTGTTGTTGGTATGGAGGTGGGAGAGATCATTTATAGTGTTGAGTTTGAATATCTCAACTTAGAGCTTATTGAAACATTAAATGCAAGGATATCACACACACATACATATACATACACACACACATATATATAAATTATATGTATATATATATATATATATATAGAGAGAGAGAGAGAGAGAGGGGGATGGGTAGCTCGAAGAGGATATGGGGAAAGGTGATAAATTTGGAGGTTTATGTGGTTATGCTTTTTTGTTGCAATGGTGTACTTTGAATTTGCGTTCATGGGGTTATTATTTTATCTTATTTAATTATATATATAACGATACGAATTTGTACGAACAAGTATTTGCATGATTAAAAGAGTCCACTTCTTTTTTACATAATAAGTTCTTCCCCACACACACTCACATGCATTATTTTACAATATCTTTAAGTAACATGTAACAATTAAAAGTGTGTGGAATTGCACTTTGCCCAAGAAGCTTATCCCATGCCTTCCATATTATCCTTTTATCTTTCCCTCTCCCAACTTGTGGGTCTTACTTTGTAACTTGGCATCTCTTTGGTGTAATTCTTGAAATAAATTATCATTTTTAGTCTTGAAACAACCGGTAAAATCGGGGTTACTTCACTAAATCTCAAAAACAATCTTTTTGCAAAATGCAGGAGGATGTGTTGGAGCCGTGGTGCAACGGGGTCATCGTTCCCTATCTCTTCATGTCCTAAAGCGTGCACACACACAAAAATATGAGGTTTAAATTCTTGACCTTTAAATTTAAGTAATTTACGATAGGTGGGCCATAGGCTATGTGGTATCTTTCTTCTTTATCTATATTAATTTAGGCAGTAAAGTTGATGGACTAAATATGGAGTCGATGGAGTGGTGTGGGTTATTGGGGGTCTGAAAATGATTTTGAGGATTGTCTCGTACGTAGTTATCCTATCTAAAAATGGTTTTGTGAATCACATCAAGTGTAAGTGGAAGGTGGGCTGTTGACCAAAATCACAGTGTCCTCACTTTCATCCTACAATTTGATTTTTTCAACTGAGAGCTTTTCTTGGTGCTTGTCCCATTAAGGTTGTCATATCTTTCCCTTTCTGGAGAAGTCTACTTATGGGTCCAAAGCTTAAAAAATGGCTAATCCTTTCTTTGACCCTTTACAACCAAAAAATCGTATTTTATACCGGTTTGACCCTCTGTAACCGGAAACAGGTCTACCCTTTTAAAATCAAGATTTAAGGGTGTCAAATGGGTATTATCTACAGCATCTTGATCTATGATTGTCAAGCAGTAGGTATTGGATTGGATTTGACCTCTTTGTAAAGTTAAAAAAGGTTTAGCCTTTACAATCAAGAAAGTGGTATTGGATCTATGAGTGTTGTATGATTCGATTTAAATAAGGACTAAATGATATGATAATTTAGTGGGATAACCATAAAATCTTGGTCTTTGAAGTAGGAATTCCCAAGTGTCATCAAGATTGGTGGTTGCACAATTTATTATGATTTTGTGTTTTGTTTACCCCACCACACACACTACCTTTCACACGGATGATGTTACAGGAAAGTTGTGTACAAACCCGTACCCAACTTCCTTTTTTAAATACAATGATACAGTATTGTATCATGTTATCTTGTTGAAAATGCTCTTGTTTTGCATGGAAGCAACATGTTATTTGCTTGTTTTAGTTTTTTAGCGAATTCCACTGATATCATATATGATATACAAATGATTGTATATCATATTCTTTTTTCTAATTAGTCATAGATGGTCCGAAAGTAAAGGAGGGAACAATAACATGTTGGGTGTGCTATGTGGATAGGGTTACGTCTCTATGGCTTCTAGCGATGCAAATTTATTGATCATGATCCTATAGTCGGTCAACGTGGTACACGTGGCCGGGGAAGGGGGGCTATGTGGGGGCATATGGTACCACATGCCACTACCTTATTGTTTCAGTCGTAATGCCACTAATGGAAAACTAACCAAACACCCTTCGACACATCTATGTCCTGTTTGGTTTGCGGGATGGAATTGGATCGGATTTGGAATTGAATTCCATTTCAATTGCATATTTGGTTTGAAGGATTTATTGGATTTGAAATTCCACAAGCATAGGATTTTGAAATCCTTCGAGGATGTTTGGTGTTTTATGGGATTTCGTAGATTTTAAGTAATAATGTTTTAAAAGATGTTAAAAACATTTGTTTTATAATAATCACTTAATAAAAATGTAATTTAATTATTTTTATATTTTTTTATAATTTGCTTTTCTAAATTATTTTATAGAGAATGGAATATCCTACAAACTGAATACACCAAAGATTTCAAACCCTTTCAACCTCCAATTCCAAATCTCTCAAAACCACTCTATCAAACCAAACGTCCCTTTAGCTCTTTTGGTTTGCATAATTGTTTTTGAGAGATTTGGATTGAAATGAATTTGAAATCATTAGTGTGTTTGGTTTGTAGAATTTGGAATGGAATTAGATTCCATTATTTATAAATAATTTATAAAAAAATTAGAAATAATTATAAAAATAATTAAATTACACTTTCATTAATCAATTATTACAAAACAAATATTTTTAACATTTTTTAAAACCTTATTTCATAAAATCCTAAGAAATTACATGAAATCCCGAGCACTCCCTAAGGATTACAAAATCATGTATTTGTAGGATTTCAAATCCGAACAATCCAACAAACCAAACATGGGATTAGAATGGATTTAAATCCAAATCCCCCAAAATCCATTTCATTCCATTTCTTTCCTTCAAACCAAGCGAGAGTTTAGGGTTTAGGGTTTAGGGTTGAGTTGAAAATGTCAAATTGCCAGCTAGAGAGTGTAATAAAGCCAAACAAAAGGGACCCCAGGGTCTCTGAAGGTGTAGAAGTAAATGAAATCCAGCAAAGTGATTAGGCAGTTGGTCGGGTGAATTGCCACACGAACAGATCATATATGCATCCTAATCATGATCATGATTGTGACTTTTCACATCCATTTTTAATTCTGTATCGAAACAGCCATCGTATTTAGAAAACGAAACCGTTCAGGACACGGGTTTTTTTTGTCGTCAAGTATAACCGACCGTCTTCTTCTAAAGTTCAAACCCTTTCTCTTTTCCTGGGTATCTGTCTGTGAAAATGGAAATCAGGTTTAACGATACAAGTTTAGTTTTTGAATTATTAATTGTTATTGAAAAATGGGTTTGTTTGAAGAATTACGGGGGAATTAGAAGGAACAGACGATATGTTTGGTTGGGTGTAGATGGAACAAAGTTGTAATCCAACCGTTTGTGATGTGATGTTTGGTTCCGGAATCCTTTTCGATTATTGATGTCGAATAGAGAATCTTGTCGAGTTGTAACGATATTTATCGTGTACTTTTAGGATTTGAAACGTTTGAAGAACTAATATGGTCCCAACGTGACACTAATGAATAACCCGTTTCGACATGGAAAGGTCTGTGTCAATGTACTGTTCTTTTATTTTGTTCGATATGTCTTTTGAGCGAGTTCCCGTTTTTTTGGTTTGTTTAAATTATAGATAAAGACGATTGTTTTATATTACTTTTAACCAGTATCTAAAAATACGTGTGTTATGATTGGCACAAGACGTGTCTCCATCGTTACGATAAGACCTATAATGTTTCTAGTGTAGCTCACGCCATGACGCCTTACGACGAGCTGTGGGGAAGATGTAGCGTCTGTTTTTTTATAACATGTTATTTTTTTTTATCAAAAAGATATTTTTTTTAGTTTTTTTTTTTTAACTTTGTGTTTTTACATTTTTTAACTTTAGATTTTACACTTTTATATATTTAGGTGTTAATTAAAATATTAACCCAACCCAACCCAAACCGTATGGGTTGGTCGGGTTAATATTTTGGTACGTTAAAATATTCTTTTAACCATGAATATGTTATTTCCCTACTCATAATTTCTTCTTTATCATCAACCATTTGATACAACTTATTGATACTTCTTACGTATATCACATTCAATTAATTTTCTTAATTTACATATATATGCTCACAGTTACTAAACATATATACGAGTGAGTCATATAGAGATGGAGAATATATTGAAAATATATGTATATTAAGAGCGTACGTGATAATGTAATTGTCTAATGTATATATTAATAGAAACTCAACAATCATATTAAATCCAAGAAATAAAAGAATATCGGGTTGAGTTGGGTTCAAATAATAGTAACTCAATATCAACCCAATACCAACGGTTTGAAAATTTTACAACTCGATTAGACATCATATTGCTTCGTATTAAGTTATTTCGCTTTGGGTTGGATTGATCGGGTTTTTGAGCACACCTACCTTACGCTATTTTGAACCTTACCTTTAACTCAGATTTTCGAACATAATATTAATAATGGAAAAAATAAAAATAACAGGAATAAAACAAAAACAGTGATATCAATAAATAAATAAATAAATAATTGTGGTCAAAAATACCTTTTTACAAACAAAAATCAAATTCCTACTTTAATTACAATTGTTTTAATAGTTATTTTATTATTTATTAATTAACTAATTACTATTTAATACCTGAGGACTTTATTTAATTAACGTCAGATAAAATTTATTTTTTCAACGAAGATAGATTTTTACCAAAAGTTTGTTATGGTCCAGATTCAGTTCAAAACTGGTACGAGACGATCTCGTTTTTCTAACTTAAAAACAAATCTTAATGTATATGTATTGTGGTCCAGTTCGAGACTAAGCATTTTCATACTGATTCACTTTTTCTTCCATTATTTTTCGGTCCAGTACCAGTTCCAATCAATGCACGCTTCTAATTATACAAATATCCATTATTATTATTATTATTATTTTTGTCATGTGATATAATACATGAGAGTAATAATATACTCTTTTACTTAACTGCAATCATATTACCGATGCTAAACAGAAGAGATAGATACGAAGATGTGGACACGTTACCAGCTATTGGATTTCACAGTGTCCGATCTGCACCGTTCAAAATACATCTAAACTAATCCTTGATTTTTATTTTTAAAAGTATATAATCATACCCTTTTTATTCAAGAGATGATCGGTCGT